CTCAACCAAAAATTAGGAGTCGTCTTTTAAACCTGTTCAAATTCTAGTGCTATTTGTCTGTGACTAAAAACCCCGTCCATCATTCTAGGGCCAAGCATATAGATATAAAGCATCATTTTATTTGAGATCATATCATAAATGGTGATACTGAACTTTCTTTTGTGAGCACTGAATTTTAATTGGCTGATATTTTTACAAAACCACCCCTGTTTGAAGAAAGATTTTGCACTCTCAAAGAATTATTTCAAATCTTCTTTTATTTTATGACTTCATGTTTCCTATGTGAGTTCATTATTTGGTTCCCTCTTTTTCTGCAAAAAATCTTCCTATTTGCCGCCTTCTCTCGTCTTTCCATAATCATCATTATGCCTTTTTGATGTCTTGTCCTTTCACACCACAAACCCTTGAACTGCCTCTAACTTATATCTCTCATATTCGTCCCTTTTCTTTCTTCACTCTTCCAAGTTATCCTATCTTGAAAAAATTTCTCATGGCTAAATCACAGAAGTGCTCCCCTATAACCACTTGCAAGAGTGCCAGAAACAATGGAAAAGGAATCTTCTCTTTCCGTCAATTCCGATGAATCCTTTCACCCATTGTCATCCAATTCCTCTCATGGTTAAGCAGTCTGGAGACTATGATACTTCTGGAGAATCTAAGAAAAAAATCAAGTTTCATCTTGGTAGTTCCTTGGATGTCAAAATTGACTTTTGGTGTCCCTCTAATAAAACTATCTTTCACTCCCTTAAGGACAAAACCCTCGTGCATGGTAGAATCGTGGATTTGAATCTTCTTCTTTCCCTTCGCTGACCCTTAACAAGGACAAAGAAGAAGATTCAAATCCACGATTTTACCATGCACCAGGGTTTTGTCCTTAAGGGAGTGAAAAATGGTTTCATTAGAGGGACACCGAAAGTCGATTTTGACATCCAAGGAACTACCAAGATCAAACTTGATTTTTTTCTTAGATTCTCCAGAAGTATCGTAGACTCCAGACCGCTTAACCATGAGAGAAATCGGATCACAATGGGTGAAAGAATTCTCAGAGAAATCAGAATAGATGGAAAGAGGAAAAGAAACAATTCCCGTTCCTTTGTTTCTAGCACTCTTGCGAGTGGTTATAGGGGAGCACACTTATGTGATTTAAGCCATGAGGAAAATTTCAAGATAGGAGAAATAGGACTTTTAGGAAGAGTGAAGAAAGAAAAGGGACGAATATGAGAGATATAAGTTAGGGGCAATTCAAGGGTTTGTGATGTGAAAGGACAAGACAACAAAAGGGCATAACGAGAGAAGGCGGCAAATAGGAAGAGTTTTTGCAGAATTGAGGGAAACGAATAATGAACTCACATAGAAAGCATATAAGGAAAGATAAAGTCATTAAATAAAAGAAGATCAGAAATAATTCCAAGAGATTCTCTGAGAGAGCAAAATAATTCTTCAAGCAGGGGTTTTAAAAATATCAGTCAATTAAAATTCAACGTTCACGAAAGAAAGTTCAATATCACCATTCATAACATGATCTTGAATAAAATGATGTTAAATATATCTATTTTCATCGTCGATCTCTCCATTACTTTGAATTGAAGACCTAAGATACTTGGAACATCCTCTCTTTGGGATGACTTGAGCGTCAAGTCTCACTTCCATGCTAACCTCTTGTGTTGCATCACTGAACTTGCACTCCAAGTATTCAGTCTTGGTCCTACTCCTGCTTAGTCTGAACCCTTTAGACTCCAGGATTTGCCTCCAAACCTCCAACCTAGTATTAACTGAACCGCGAGAATCATCAACTAGTACTATATCATCGACGAATAACATACACCAAGGTACTTCACCTTGGATATGCTGCATCAATCATCCATCACTAAAACAAATAAGAACAGGTTAAGAGTAGCTCCCCAGTGCAAGTGTTTCAAGTCATCTCCCACTGTCCTCACCCTGGTCTTCGCTCCATGTCCTTAATCGCCGTAGTGTAAGTTACAAGCACACCTCTAGCCTCTAAGCATCTCCATAAAATCACCCTTGGGACTTTGCTGTAAGCCTTAACTAGGTCAATGAACACCATATGTATATCCCTTTTCCTTTCCCTATACTTCTCCACCGGTCTTCTCACTAGGTGGATGAATTTTATAGTTGATTGCACCAGTATGAATCCAAACTAGTTCTCGAAAAAAGATACACCCCTTCTCACCCTCATCGTCACCACCCTCTCCCACAATTTCATAGTGTGGTTTATCAGCTAAATACCTCTATAGTTGTTGCAATTCTGAACAGCGCCCTAGTTCTTGTACAAAAGAATCATCATACTCAATCTCCATTCTTCAGGCATCTTTCTTGTCTTAAAAATAACATTAAACAACCTAATCAGCCACTCCAAACCTGTCCTGCCTATGCTCTTCAAAAAACTCCACCAGAATCTCATAATGCCTGACCACTCTTCCCCTACTCATCCTACGAATAGCACCCTTAATCTCTTAAATACCCAAAATCCTATCGTCTTTTAGAGTGCTCCAAACTCCAGCACAATGTCTCTATCCTTCTCTTCATTCAAGAGTTTATAGAAGTATATATGTCATTTTCATCTAATGAGTGTCTCCTCCACCAAAACTTTGCCTTTCTCGTCTTTGACGCCAACGCACTTGGTCCAGGTCTTGGGCCTTCGTCTCTCTTTCCTTGGCTAGATTGTATGACTTCTTATCTCCTCCTTTGTTCCCTAGTTTTCATACAAGCGATCGAAAGTTGTCGACTCGTTGTCGTAACCACCAACTTCATCTCCTTCTTCACCACTTTATACCTTACCCTATTCGCTCGCTTATCCCCTCATCCTTGCCCTCCACAAAATTCACTAAGCCGTCCTCTTTTCTTCGACTTTCCATCGGACTTTACCATTCCACCACCAATCCCCTAGATGTCCCCAAAGCTACCCATTGAAACCCCCAATACCTCTCTTGCAACTTCCCTAATGCAACCAATTTTCCTATCTCACATATTGCTCGCATCACCACTGCTCCCCCAATTAGTCGACGCTCTCACAAGCTGACGTAGACACCAGGTTATCAAAAGAAGAAAAAAATAACAAATTTAACTATCACTACTACTACAAATCAATCCCGGACTAGCTTGAATGGATATATGAATTCCGTTATTTGGACACATTCTTTTATACTATCCAAACAAACTAAAGCTCCTAGTAGACAATAGTTCTCATGTAACTGTACCAACATGATAAATACCCATTTAACCATATAAACAAACAAAAAAAATCAAAAAGTCTCAATTAAAGAGTCTACAAAGCATAAGGGTTAATAAAGCTCACAACTTTGGCGCGAATCAGACGTTCTTTATCAAGTTTCTGAAGAAGCAAATTTGCATCCATAGCAAAAACATGAGTGACATTTTTACTAAACCGGTCCTCTAATTTAGCCCCCATTTGCACCAATTTCTGCTTCCATATCTGCAACCAAACAAATAAAATTCAAACAATTGAAAAAAAAAAAAAAAGGAAAAATTTGAAGAAAAGAGAAATTGTGGATAGTTCATCGGGTTGCAACCTGTAGCCGCCGGGATTGAACTCCGGCTTCGATTAAGAAGACAACCATACTAGAAAATATTCCGTTGGGATCAGACGGCGGAGATTTATCCTTCTTTGGCGCCATTACAGTCTTCTCCTGAAAGTTTCAGTTTTGATGTCTCCTGATACCAACCTCCATTTATAAATAACACAAACGGTCGATCATTTGAGGTTTTATAATAAAAAAAACTATGAATAAATTATTTTATTTTTTAATGTTATAAATAAAAATAAAATACTTGTTAAATTTAAATTTTTAAATAACATTCATATTTTTATTAATTAAAAAATTGAAAACTAACACATTTCTAATGGATTCATAATGAGTTATTTCGTATGGATAGAAAATTAAAATCTAAGGAGTATATGCAATTAAAATTAAGTTACAATTTTAATTTTTAAGTTTGATGTAAGAATTTTATAATTGTAAATTATTTTGTAAATATCAATCTTTTATTGACATTATACAATTTGAACTGAATAAGATTTTGTCCAAACTTTTAATAAAAGGATATTGAGGTTGTTCATCAATACTTTTATATTCATTTTACATTCGTCTCTCTTGTTCTTACACTTTAATAACTTGTGCAATCATCTCACATGTGTAAGTTTCAAGGATAGAAAGAGTATATATAGTAAACATTAGTTTTTCAAGTATGATCATAATTGATAGACAATGTTTAAATATAATTTTTTTTTTAGATACTTGAAATTTATTAATGTGTATGACATTAATGATGACGATCATAAATATTTATATAGGGTCAAACTGAACTGTGTGAAATAAGACCAATTATACTTGTTTTATATTTTGGGATAAAAATGTCTTCGCCGTTATCCCAAAAAACCACAAATATCTTCAATAGTTAATAATCTAAATTTTTTGTGATGTGACAAGCTACATGTGACTAATCCTCCACCTAAGCGTTGCCAACTAGTATTCTCATTAGGATTCCCACTAAATCTCAAAAATCAGATTTAAAATATAAGATATAAAATTTTAAAACTTTGGATATTCAAATATCTATAATACTACACTCGATAGTGAATACAAAATTCATAAATTCTTAAAATAAAATTCAAAGTTCAATCTATAATTTAAAAATCCAACTCTAATATCCAAAAAAAGTCAAATTCAACTTTGATTTGGGTTGGCCAAAACCATTCCCACACCTAAATGTCCTAAACTAAATAATAAAGATCACATAATTACAAAATAATATTCTTAGAAAGAAATAAGATTTCATGACCACTTACAAATCGAATAAAAGAACTCATTTTTCAAATCTATAAACATGAAATTCAAAACCTCTCAAAAAAAAAAAAAAATGTCGAATTGGTAATATCAAAACTATAAGGGCCTATTTGATATTCTTGAAAATGAGACTACCCAGTGCACAAATCTTATCTTCCCCAATGCTTCAAACAATTACTAATTACTAATACCTTAAACCCTTCAAAAACCCATAAAAGCAAACACCATTTTCTCTGTAGCTGTTTATCAAGAAGCCCCAATTCTTGATTTTAGCAAAAAGGGGTTAAAGCTGATGATTTTACAGCACTCAATTTCAATTTGTAAGCTATGGAGGTTGTCATCTCCACCAAACCTCATCTTGTTCCGACCTTCTGTAGCTTACCAACCACACTGTTGTCGGATTAGAGCATTTGGGTCTGCTGTTTCAGCTTCCAAAGTTACTGAAACAAATACAAATGAGACATTTTTTGCTGAAGAAAGTGTTTCTTGGACATCTTTGGGTGTGTCTGAATCATTATCTCGTGCTTTATCTAGTATTGGCCTTCATAGACCCTCTTTAATTCAGGTATTTTGTATTTCTTTCCTGTTAAATTTCGGTCATTATAGGAAATTGTGATTAAAGATTGAATCTTTTTGTTTTCTTTGATTGAATATGAACTCCTTAAACTGTGTTATGCTGGTAATAGCATATATATTGCATTACAGAGTAGGTATTTCTGTTAAATTTTTCCCACTATAAAAATTTGTGACTAAAGGTTGAATCTTTTTGGTTTCTTTGATTGAATATGAACTCCTTAAACTGTGCTATGGTGAAATTATCTTATATATTGCATTACTGAGTAGGTACCAGTCCTATGTTGCTCTGACTCTTCAAAAATGTCGATAGATGTGTGTCGGATACTCTAAAAGTAGTGCATTTTGGAGAATTTGTCACTTGTGTGGCAACAATTTTGGAGAGTCCGGAGCAACATAGGGTACCACTCTCTTCTTATGGTATGTTGGTTTAGATTTCTTACATGATTTAATCTTTTTTTAAAACTAAATTAGTTTCTGTGATAAGCGCCTAATTTGAATCAAGTGGGGCGCTGATAAGCAATTTCTCTATTGAAGTCCAAGTGTTCAAAGGATTTGTTATTGTTAGACTATTTTTACCCATCAAAGGTTGCATCACTCCTCCTTCATTTGAGTTAGTGACCAGGTCTTCTTTTGGAAGCTCACATAGGTGAAGTTTTTGATGTGCTGGTGCATAAAAATAAACTTTTTTAGAAAATAACTAACAAATTTTCAGTGCATGATCAATATTAATCAAGTTACCTAATAATCACTTATACCAATGATCAAAATCACTTTCAGAATCTGAATCACTTATGTATTTGATAATTAGCACTCCTATAATCTGAACCAAACAGTCTATTTGGTTGAATGTGCTGTTATTTGTGGAGTTTGCAGCACATTATTATGTATTAAGAGGGAAGTGAAATCATGTCTTCAAATATGCACACGGAGCTCATTTAGTGATCTTCATTCTAGACTTATAGTTCTGTGGGTACATGTGGTAGGCTTGGTAGCAAATATGGACATGCTATGGAAGTTTCACTGAGAGGTCGCAATGGATTGAGTTAGCTGGGAGAAAATCGCGTATAAACTCTTTAATCCTCAAGTATCTCATTTGAATAGTTCAACTGTTCAAAGACCAAGTAGCTAGACAAAAGTGAATTATATTTAATACTCAAGACTTCATGTTTACTTCTCTCTGTATTCGAGTTCTTGTCCCTTACGTGTTCTTTCTTGTGGGGTCTAAATTTGTGTCATGTAAAGATACAAGTTTGTTTCTAATGTATCATTTCCTTTTCTTGGAGGCACATTTCATCTTTTTGCATAAGAGCAGGGTCACAACTCACATGAATATCTTTTATTGATGTAGTAAACCGCAAGCCCCTCTCCCTAGAGTCAGAAGTGACCTTTTTCCCAATTTGCTCCCTTGGTGACTCAAAGTTTCAACTTCTTGCAGAATATTCACCATGCAAATTTTTTAGCTTATAGCACCATGATATATCATTTTAGTTTTCCTCTGAGTATATCTTTCAATTATTGGTTGTAGTGTTAAATCTTATAGTTCTGATATATAATCTCAAATTCAGGCAGCTTGTATACCAAGTATACTTTCAGGTGTTGATGTGGTGGTTGCTGCAGAGACTGGTAGTGGCAAGACTCATGGTTACCTAGTGCCATTGATTGATAAGCTATGCCAAATATCTGATAGTTCAGGGGCTATTGCTGGTCAGGATGTCAGGAAGCACAATCGTCTTTCTCTTGTTCTTTGCCCTAATGTTATGTTATGTGAGCAAGTGGTTCGAATGGCTAATAGTCTTTGCAATGATAGTGGTACACCACTTCTCAGTATTGCAGCTGTTTGTGGCCGACAGGTGAGCATTCTCATCGTGATTGTTTATCCTTGTTTACCTGTGAACACTGATTCTTTCTTGCTGTGGATCAGAGTTTTTTTTGCGTGATGACATTTCTATGAATGTTTATTCTGCTTTTCCTCATAAACTTGCAATGTCTTTAACAAATGAGAAATTTAATGCAGGTCTGGCCTGTAAAAGAACCAGATGTAATGGTGTCTACTCCGGCAGCACTTCTAAATTATCTCTATTCTATTGACCCAGAAAGGCGAAGACGTTCAGAGTTTATACGTAGTGTTAAATATGTGGTAATAGTTCTGGAATTTTTTTAAATTGGTTATGAGAAAGTGATTTCCCAATATTCAGTCTTAGTCATTTTGGCTGTTTGTAGGTTTTTGACGAGGCAGATATGCTGCTTTGTGGAAGTTTCCAGAATCAAGTGGTCCGACTTATAAATATGCTTCGCTTTGATGAGAAGCAGTTATCTCGTTCTAAAAACTCTGGAGCTGAGATGTCATCAACTTCAGACTTGGAAGAGTTTAGGGACCTAAAAGCAGATTATGGTGAAGATGCAGATGAAGATGAAGATGAAGATGAGGATGAAGATACTGAAGTTGGCGAAGATAAAGCAAATCTAGAAACAGATACCAAGGGGTTAAAGAGAAGAGATTGGCGAAGAGTGAGAAAAATATATGAGCGGAGCAAGCAGTACATTTTTGTTGCAGCTACCCTTCCTGAAAATGGGAAGAGAACTGCTGGAGGAGTTTTGAAGCGGATGTTTCCTGAAGCTACCTGGGTTAGTGGAAATTATCTTCATCAGCACAGCCCGAGGTGCCACTTTTTTCTATGTTTCTTTTAGTCCCATAATTCGTTTCTTTAAAGTAATTCTTAGGGGAAGGAGGGTAATGCTGACAAAATGGATAAAATTTTCAAGTATCTGTCCATCTCCCACTTAAAAACAGGTTGGAAAATTGATTTACTAGGATCAGATCATATATGGATCAATCAATATAACCAATTATGGAAAAAGGGTAGAAGTATGCATATCCATATTATCCATGCTTCACTGCAAATAATCCTCTGCTCGAACCAAGGAACTTGTTGTCATGGACTCCACCGGTGCTTCTCTTATCTGCGCACCTCAAGGACTTCTCTGTTCATCAAGAATCATCTTCTTTTTTTGAATCTTTACATGCTTCACATTTCTGATGGAAATTGCAAGGCAGATGGAAATCTTCAAAAAAGTAGTATCTGAGTCACTTAGATGGAACCTAAATTAAAATCCCATCTCTAAATTCCAATCTTGCCAATCCCATTTGTTTTTCCGTTTTCTTTTTTTATTGATTCTCAGTTTTTGAAAATTGAAAATAACAGATACTGCAGAATCTGAATTTTTAAGATTTAAAGATTTCATACGGAGTTTGACTAATTACTCATTTTTGTTTCAAATTGGACGTTAGTTTTGAACTTATGTTGGAAACTAACGGAAAATTATGTGTGTGCGAGGTATCATCTTATTGAGCAAAAAATTGGACCTTTATTATATGTTACTCGATCCGAATTTTATCCATATTAAATATGAGTGGGTCGGATTTTTATTCGTTTTTTTGTCTTAAAACATTTTCAACCAGCCCATATCAATTTTGACCTGCCCATTTGCCAACACTAGAGCGGGATGGCAAGGATCAACTATTTCGTCTAATTTTATAGAAAGTTATGTAAGAGTTTGCGTCCAGATACTTCTTTAGGTCCCATAACTTAACATCTTCACCAAGGAAATTATGTTGTCATTTGTGGATAGTCAAGTTCTTCTTTTGGCGGTATCAGTACTTCAGTTCAATGGCAATTCTTGTTATAATTTTCTGAGGATCATTTTAACTAGTATGGCTTTTATCACCTCCCTGCTGTCACTTTAGGTTGGAGCAGAGGTGGATTGAAGTTTCAGTTGACACCCAAGTGGACATTCTCATAAATGCTGTGGAAAATGGGAAGTCTATGGCAGATAGTGTTCCTGGAGTGCTCCGAACCATGGTCTTTGCAAATACCGTTGACGCTGTGGAAGCTGTTGCTAATATCTTGACAGGAGCTGGACTTGAATGTTTCCGCTACCATAGTGATAGCTCTTTGGAGGAGCGCACAAAGAATTTACTTGATTTCCAACAGAAAGGTGGTGTTTTTGTGTGCACGGATGCTGCAGCACGTGGTATTGATATTCCAAATGTTTCACATGTTATTCAGGTTTGTTTTCTTAAGTGAATACATTGTTCTTACCTCAATCGGTTTCTGGTTGTTCTTTGATGCCTAATATTGTGGTTTAATTAATTAAGAAGTATAAAAAAATCATTTTTCTTTATGTTTTGTACCCAATACGCCTTATTGATGTCTCATTCACTAATGAACATTTCTGCATTGCTGGGTTAATTGGCTACTTGTACATTGAGTATTAGAGGAGTTACTTAAGTGTACTTGTGATGCCTTTGTTGGCGTTCCGTATACATCTATAGATTGATGTGTTTTTATACTCAATTGTTTTCATGATAAGTTTTCCCCTCCTCTTTGTAGGCAGAGTTTGCTACGTCTGCTGTAGATTTCTTGCACAGGGTTGGACGTACAGCTAGAGCAGGCCAACCTGGCCTAGTTACGAGTCTATATTCAGAATCAAACCGTGATCTTGTTGCTGCCATTCGTCATGCAGAAAAAATTGAAGAGCCAGTGGTACGTTCTATATCTTATAGCGCTTTAAGATCAGGATAAAAAAAGACCCTCTTAACTAGCTTAGTAATAGTGACTGAAAAGAAGCCTATGTCAGATTAGCCGCTTTAAGTAGTTACTGTTGGGAAAGACAAGGCACTAACAAGAATGTCAGACAGGATAGCAGCGGAATAATACCCAAATCTAAACTTTCCCTTTCAATTTGAACCAAGAGAAGACAAACCAAATCAAGCAATATGAAGAATGGACAGCAAGTATATCAATCAAACTAAAGCAACAAGATAAGAATAACTCAATCACACAAGACACAACGATTTACGTGGAAAACCCTTCGATGTGAAGAGTAAAAACCACAGGACCAAAAGCTCCACTATAAACACCAAGAGTTACAAAATTGTTCTCCAAAATTGGCCACAAAACAAGTGCCAAACAACGAGCAACAACAAATCAGGATTGCACCAAAACTAGAGAATTAAAGAAGAGATTTCACCCAAAAACGTGCTACTGTTCACGCCCCAAAATCAGAAGCTACAGACCTCCAAATCCGATCTCCACCGTTGAATTGCAAGAACCAGATGCTGAGAACTCCAAGTTCAAATTTGAGCACGATCCAACAGTTAACGAATCGGTAAATTCTGTTTGAAGCGGACTGCCTGAGCAGAAAATTTCCAGAAGCAAAAACGGAATTTTTCTCTTTTTCTCTCAATCTCTAAAACGAAACTCTCTTGATTTTTCTCTCTTGTGTTTCTGAAAAATAAGACCAAATAAGCCTTATATATGCCACATAATATTTGAGTTATGGGCTAAAGTGGGCTGGTCCTAATAAGACTTTTATTTATCCACATAGGAAGGGGAAAAA